CCCCCCCCCAATAATTTTTCATACATATCTGATTTTAATATAGCGCAAATAGCACTTTTCTTTGCGTAGTCCAGAAAAATATCAAATGTCTGATTTGCGTATTTCAGAATTATAGAGGCCATTTCCAACCAGCGAAACATATAGCTTTTACAAACAACAGGTCTGAACCTTCATGACGCTGTGCAATAATGTCAAGAGTTGTTAGTCGCATTTGACCACTTTATTTAAAATTCGGAGCCTAACATTATCCAAGGTGTCACACTCGGTTTCAAATAACGGTTGAAACTCCATATCTGCTTCAGACCAAGCGTCGTTTTAACTTACTGTTTGCTTGTGTTTGATTATTCTTTGCCTTTGGAACCTAAAGTATCTCCCAACAAAATTCTCACGAAAAAATGCAGGTTATATAATAACTATACAGTGAAACACGCAATTTGGTTGGTCAATAGTCGTGGAGGATCAGGCTATCCTGCACGTGGAATTAAAATGCCTTCGCGGGATTTTCAAAATGTCATAGTTTCGCTGCAGTTATTTTATAAAACAATTACCAAATGGTTTTCCAAGCAGGATTGCGTGATCCATGCACTTGGGATGTTGCTCGACATTCGGAAAGTGTAAAAATACACTCGCCTGCGGCTTGAGTATTTTTACGCTTTCCGAAAGTCTCGCGATATCCCTCGTGCATGGATCACGCAATCTTGCACGGAAAACCATTCGGTATTCCTTTATTATTGAACACCTTCCAGAAAAAAAAAAATTCTAAAAAAGGTAGAGACGATAAGTATGGAAAATGCAATTTAAATTACGCTTAAATAAGGCGTTAAAGTTCGAAGAAAAAAATCTATTCAAGGAAAATGCACTAAGCGAATAAATTTTACCCTTACATATGGCTTGCTTAAGAATCGTTCAAGAAACTTTTTAAGAGAAACTAGCAGGTTTCATTGCATTTCTAGCCTGCGTGCAGTCCCAGACTCCAAAGGAAGTAGGGACTACTTCCTTTGGAGTCTGGGACTGCACGCAGGCTATTGCATTTCTGGGGCTCTGAGAGGTCTCAGATTTCAAAATTTCCCGGGGGAGCATGCCCCCGGACCCCCCAGAACGCTCACGCCTTCGGCGTTCGCTAGCCCTCCCCCAATAAAAAAAATACCTCCGCGGTCCCTGCTATAACAATGCGTGACAGCCGAATTGGGTAATGACGTAGTCCGGCCTTCGAAACGTGCCCTACTGATGGAAGGCTTTCCTCGAACTGAAAAGCGTTTCCTTCCTTCAGCCTAGTTGAAACGATCGAAGTCGTCATGCAACCTTGGTTGCCGCTGTTCTTAATGCTTAGCTAAAACTATGATGTATTTTATTTTGAAAACCAACTCTAATCAACTCCGCTCAACCTCGTTTGACCATGGTTTTTTTTATATCTGCAACGGATATCTAAAATATATTCTTTGAACCTTTTATATGATGACATAGTAAAATTTCCGCTTCAGAGCCAGTTAACGTCAGGGAAGCATCAGAAAATAGTAAAAGAAACGTCTTTGTACATTTTTCACGACTTTTAATATGGAGAGATTTGACTAAAGTTATTCATCAGGACACATCTAAGTTATGAACGATGCACAATTCATGGCCACAAAGATATTTAACAACAATTAATACTATTTCATAAGTTATTATCAGATTTCCATTGCCGAATTTGCGTCATATCAAAAACTGAAATAAACTCAGGTAAAGAAAGGAAAATCTCTAAAAGTCACCTTCGCTTGCTATTTTGAGAACTCTTTAAAATAAATCCTTTGATTAATTCCCATCACCGCCCGAATTTATTAAAGGCACGTATCATTGATACGGAAATTATATAAAATATCAAACATAAATTATACCTCCCGCCTCTTCGACATTTTCAATGTTGAGTGATGAGAATCAAGGAATTTATTTTATGTGGCCTCGCATAAGAAAATAAACGTAGTTTTGAAGTTTATATAATTCAATGTTTGGATAATTTATAACCCTCCTCAATTCGGACCTCAAATAATGGCATTTGCGCGGCTTGCGCCATCGCCTGCGTCATCATGAAGACGCTCGTTACACATACTGTCGTGGTCTATTTGCGCCAGGCATATGCGCCAGGGCAGATTCAGTTCAGTATATGTTTGCTCCTTTACTCCAAATATGAATGTCCCAGACAAATTAGAAATCAAACTCCAGCTTTGGTCAACTGAATATTAACAAAGAACGTGCAGTACGTGCACTTAAAACAACATAACTGACATTATACAAAAGGTCAAACAGAAGAGTCACGTTATTTTAATCTCAAGTTGAATTAATTTCATATTTATTTATTCAAAAGCTTAACAAAACACTTCAAAAATAGCAATTTGATTGGCCTACAGGCTTTGCTGTTGTCATTTCTCTCTGTACTAAATGGCGTTGGCGACATAAATCACACAAAAGCATACAAAATCCGACTGTTGCCTAAGTTATATATAACTTCACTTGAATTATAAAGACGTTACAGGAGTATGCTATATAAAATGTCATCTTACCTTGGAGTTGCTGTCTTGTTGTTTCTCATATGCGAAGCCAGATTAGACGCGATATTCCACTTAAATCGAGGGCTGAAAGATAAATTTACAAATCCTCAATGTGCGAGAAATACGGATTGCTCAGTGGGTCAGTGTGCACAATATTTCGCAAGATGTGAAACGGAGTCTTGTACGGTTTGTGTATGCGACGAGCAAAGCCCGACCTATGTCGCAAACGAGAAGAGATGTGTGAAAGACGATGATATCTTTCCTCGAACGGGTATGGTAAATGGGCTATTTGACTATTAACGATATGCATGCATATTGCATATATATATAAGTCTGGATAAATGGCTAAATCGTTCTGTCATTGTATAGGGAAGCCACACTATTTGCCCGCATGTTCAAGACGTCGAAATTCCGTCGAATTTATTTCGATGGAACTACGTTGTTTATTCGAGAGAAATGAACGTTGTAAATGCGACTGTTGTCGAAGAATTTTGACGGGTTTCGTCGCATAGTCGCATAATTTACAGCTCGATCGAGAGAAATCGGCCGAATAAAATTCAGAAGCTGCGAGGAAGCATGTGTAAGTCCAAGGAATTAAATTCGACAGAATCGAAATTCGACGTCTAGAACAGGCGTAGAATAGGATAACGGAATCAGCAAGGCATATTCACTAGGTTTACTGAATATGTAGGTCGATTAAGCCGAATTATGTAGGATTCGCCCTGACGTTTGTTATTCAGGTTTTGATATTGTGAAACCTGATCTAATATCTGCCAAAATCAGCCAATAATACTTGTTGCATCTGGCAATATCAGATGATGTTGGAGTAGTTGGACCAACATTTTGGACTGGCTGGATGAGCCTTTAAATATTTTTGGCACTCGTGACTATAGGACTGGCCCTTACATATTACGATACGTCTGAGCGTGAACTTGGGCAATTGGCCAGAGATAGAACATCTGTCCATAGTTAATAGAAATACTAAGATCTGTCTGCATATAAACGTGGCTACGAGGCAGGTTATCCTCAGTTTATTGAGAATCAGAGGGCCTCTCGTACTCTCTCTTAACTCTCCCCCGCTGAGGCTTTTAACAGAAATTAAATGCGCCATTGCTCAGGATGGCAGGCGGTATGAAGAATTGATCCCCAAAAAGAAATACTTCCCCAAACGAAATCAAAGCATGTGTCATAGTTGTCACAGGCCTGTGTTCTTTAATAATAATGATAATAATAAAAGCGTTTATTTAAACATGATCTGAATAATGCTGCAACATAGTTGATGTGATACCTCTGCCGCTATCATTAACCAATCAGATGCGTTTAGTCTACCCAATTAACCAATCAAATGCGTATTAAACCATAGACTTGGATCAAGTCCGTCTCTCAAGAGTCCGAGGGTCGGACCATATATATGGATCGGACGCGCGAGGTGCAATAACGCGGGAAAGCGCCTCACGCCGCCGCAATTTTTTTTTTCCGTAGACAGTCGGACTCCTCATTGATAGTCGGACGCATCATTGATACGCGTCCAGGCCTCCGCGCGTTATCGATCGATCCCTTCATACCCTGCATGACCCACTGGTATACCATATGTCCATCATTCCGCGTTGTTCCAGTTTTCGACCACGTGTAGAAAGATTTTCTTCGCGATGCTATAACAAACAGGGGCGTAGCCAAGGGTATGAAGGGATCGATCGATAACGCGCGGAGGCCTGGACGCGTATCAATGATGCGTCCGACTATCAATGAGGAGTCCGACTGTCTACGGAAAAAA